CTGACCACCCCAAAATCACTTGCCGTATCGAAGAGGAGTTCCACAACGCACTATCTAAGTCTTCCAATAATTCTTAAATCAGAGGCATGGGTTGGACCATAATTTAAGTTAAGTCGTTTACAAACCGAAAATAAACGCTTAACTTGATGTCTACCCTATTTTCATACAAGATGATCACAATTGGCTGGACCACGGCGAGGTAGACGATAAAATACTCTTCGCAGAAAGCAGGCTTTTAACTAGGTCGACCACCTATACTTTGAACTGAGGGGCTATCTTTCGCGCGCGTCGTGCAATCGGTCTCGCTTTCCCACGTCGATGTCGCACGTGGCACCACGAGCGGTTGGTGGCAAGGCATTGCCTTTTCCCAGTAGCAGATACCGCTTCTTCCATACGATTTGCCTCAATCGATCTACCTCTTCAGGCGTGGTACCATCCGAATCAGGAATCTGTATTTCCTTCATCTCGATGCCTTCGGGCGAGGAATCTGTATTTCCTTCATCTCGATGCCTTCGGGCGAGGGGATTCTGGAATTACTGACCATCCTTGACTGATTTCTTCGGCCCAGATTTATTTGCTTTATAAAGTGCACACTTGGTCATCAGCTTGTGCTAGGTCTTCGTGTTTCGTACTTCCTTCAGGGACACCGAACCCCATAGACTTAGTGACTGTGGTTTCCATCGGCTGAGAAACGGCGGCTTCACGAGGTTGGGTGATGAAGGTCGTTTCTGCGCATTTTGGTGATTCATCCACCGACAGCTGTAAAGGAGAAACGCCCATTACCGGTGCGATCCATTTTGTTCGCTGCAGAATTTGTAATGGGGTATAATGTTGGGGTTTGTCCACTAATGGCCCCTCGTCTTCCTCTATCGGGTCCAGCTGATGGCCGTTCTGGACGGTGGTAGCTTCGTATGCCAAATTTCAACACTCAGCGTATCTTAGAAATTCCACAGTAGCTACCCTAGTATACTACTTATTTGATACTTTGCTAGTAACATGCCAATCCTGGTGTCGTCATGTAGCCTTAAAAATTGTAGCTGAAAATGAACAGCTTCAAGAATTGACGTCGGCCAACCACTCAGATCACCGTAGTGACCCATCGTTCTCTCTCGACACCGGTTATACACTCCGCTCCGAGGTCGGTCTTTTCAGGGGGTACTTTCACATACCCTTCAACAGGTAACTGTGCGAATTGGACCAGCCTCACGTCGGTCACTCTGCCACTGTAAAGCGTTCGTTGACCGGCTACTTGTTTACAAACTTCATCTGGGAGGCATAGTGCCCTATCCATTAGATCTAAACGGACACCAGCTAGGAATATAGTGTCCATCCCCAAAATTGCATCTTGGCCTTCCATAGAGCCGACCCATACGTTGAAGATATACACCAAGATTCCGTTCAGGGTGATCTTGATACGAGTGCGCCCTTCTGTAGTATGTATTGATTCCTCAATACTTACACATTCTTGTCTTGCACTATCATCAATCTGGCAACCTACCTTACAAGCAAAGGCGATATTCAAAATGATAATTCGTCACCAAAATCAAACAAAAAGTTTGCGCGATCATAATTGACTTTTCCAGAGGCGTTAGCCTGCTTGAACCACTTCAAAGGGGCAGGGTTTTCCAAATAACCCCTAGATTCGCTTGGTAGTAGGTCCAAATTTATCACTGTATCTCCTCAAGCAAAGCTATTAGGGTCATTAAGGCAAGCAACATAAACCACAGGGTAGCTTTCAATCTTTGATAGATTCTCATCTTCTTAGTTGCGGTATCCTCCTAGCAACCCATTCTCTCTGTATTACATATTTCTTATTCGAAGCTCTTTTCCACACATGCAAAGACACGACAAGTAGAACGCTCGAATCGCATCAAATTCAAACCTGGCGAGCGTTCAAATCTATCATCTTCTATGCCTTCTCCGGAAACGTTCCGGCGTGATTGGTCGGGTTGTACCTATGACGGATCAAATAAAAAAAATCCGGGATTTTTTAGCCTATTACGTCTCTCCACTCCCATTGCACACAAAAAACACCGATCCTTCGGGTGACCCCTTTTCTCGCAGCTGTCACATGTGAGTCGTTTACAGCTAACCAAAATCTCCATGCTTTCGAGATCCACAGTGAGCGAACTTTAATGGTTGAGCGAACGACGTCGGGCGAGATCCCTGGTCATCTTCATTGTGACTGTGATGGTCGGCCTCCAGAATAATCTTGCCTCTTATGGTCGTCGCACCTGTGTCCGTCTGTACTTCCATCGCCATCAAGTATTTTTTTTGCCTGAGGTCACCTTCTTTACTTGAGCCGTCCGAGCTCAAATCGTCAGATCTCGACTCTTTAAAGGTCGCCCGAACCGCATGTATCGACAGGCGGTTTAGGTCTCTTGGTCGGTCGGTACAAGTGCCTTCTGTCGAAACCTTATTGATCCAAAGAGTACCTTAATTCGCCGCGCTTTCGTCCTCTGCCTGTCTCTCAGCACGTCCTGCAATTCTGCCACAATCGCCAGACAATAATATTATGAGCTGATCCGCCAGTTCCGGGTCGTCTAAAGTCTCGATGCAGTGCTATACGTGTTCCTTTTGTACTTCGGGCCGTCCGTTCGTGATCTTGATCTTCGCCCTGAGTCCAATCACATTGAGTTGGTGCAGTTAGCCTAGTAGTGACTCATCTGACCTCTTCCTCTCATAGTGGTATTGGCGATCATTAAGCACTCCCAAACCGCAGAACTGCATCTAAAAATCTTGTAGAAGATCCTTTCAGCTTGATCGAACCAAGCGACTTAGTTGGCTATGCCAGATTTTTAGTCGGACCAGCTAGCAATCCGTCAAAGTCTAGATACTTTTCATCGTCGGGCGCTTTATATCTCGTGAACGCAGTTTTTACCGTGGTCACACAACTACGTGCTCGGTCCTCGTCTTGAATTCTTCCGTGAAAATTTTGAGCTCCGATGTCGCTGCCACTTAAATGCAAGGGACCATGTTGGGTATTTTTAATACTGTACCTGCCGCCATAATCACCAGTGGTCCCTCCAAGTCCATGTCGTCTGGGTCGTACTCACACGTACCGACTGATTCAATCTCCACGTCAGTCATAGTACATTGTCTCGAAGTTTGCATCTGAATTATGGCAGCTTGTTGAGCCGCTGTTGCCTGCGCCCTTTGTTATTCTGCGGTCTCTATTTCATCTTGGTATCCTTGTTGTACCTGGCGTTCCTATCGAATCGTGAACTTGACGCGTCGAAGCATGTCTGTAAGTTACCGACCGTGTTGGTAGGCGCCCCCCCAGGCATCTTCGCCACGTGGTGGTACAGAGATCCTGTTACAACCATGCTGCATTCCCATTTGGTGAAAACTCACCCTATCATGTGATTGGATGTCCCTTGGGTGGACACATGTCGCCGTTTCGTGATCATACTGATTTGTCGCTCCGCCTCTTGCACAAGCCTGGAGCATAGCTGCTCCTGCCGGTCCCAGTGTCATGCGGTCGTGATAGTCAATAGTAGACGAACCGTGTGACGACTGCTTGAGCACGTTTAAATTCCTGGACGGAAAGTCGGTTGTGGGGGACGGCGCATCACCCTCGGGGTGTCGAGCAGTGGTCGGGCTTGGGGTTAGGCTTCGAAGTCTTGACGCGTCATCTGGCTGTCGCGAGACGGCGTCGGTATTGTTTGCGCAAGTGGTACAATGCAAAGTCTGGTGGTGGTCCCAACCAGAATCGCTAATCGCTTGTGCAACTTCTTCAACGTGTTTTTGATGCTTTTGGACCCTAGATCAAACAAAGTGCCTGGCTCGAACCTTTCTGCAGCTAAATTTGCCTCGCGGTTGAGGGGCACCAGAGCAGTGACAACCTCGGTGACCGTCTGAAGGCGTGATAGGGGTGACAACGGTTCTTCTATCTGTCTTAGCAGCTGGATCTCAAGGGTTTTAGCGACGGGGTCGCTTGCCTAGAGGGTGTCCAGCTTGCGTCGGTGGAAGGCGATCGTCACAGCATCGTCTGATCAGGCTGGCGGCTCTGCTTGTGCAGGTCCCATCGACTTGATGCCCACCGGCGTCTTCTACTTCGTGTATTTTGGCATGAAATTAGCAGCTTAAGGGTGTCTTGGTTTTGAGGAACGTAGATTTACAAATTGCGTCGTCGGCCGATGATCTAACTCCGTCGATGGTCCTGAGAAGTCAAGGCCCATCGACTTGGTGTCCGTCGGCGCTTTAATCCTGTTTTTTTCGGCTTGGACTTGGCTATTGGAGGGGTTTGCTGTTTCGAGGACTATAACTTTTTGAATTTCTCCGTCGGTTGATAGTTTACTTGGGCATGATAGGTATCATGACCCAAAACGTCCTTAACGAGGACAAGGGAAGGGTGTATAGGCTTTTCTTCAATAATTTTAACCTTAGCCATCTTGACCGGACCCCTCCCAAGGTCTGGTCGGTCGTTTGACTCTTTGTTTTGTCTTCTTGTGTCACTGGCGTTCGGTCTTGTTAGCGAGTGATGATGCGGCGACTTGTGCAGGGTGTATATTGCATATTTGCATTAGTTGTATTGTTTTATGGACGTTTATATTGTGGGATGTTAGCGAAACGTCAAATCATCGGATTGGCTCAGTCGTTTGGTAAGAGGGATTCCACGCGGGTGAGTGCGGGTTCGATCCCCGCCGTGAACAAGGTAATTGTGACTGACATTCACGACCTGGTGTATGGGGTTCACCAGAACTGTGACCCGCCCGCAGTTACGTCCCCCACCCACGCAATCGTTTTCATTCTGCATATGACACAGCAGAGTTTTTACGAAAGGTATTTACGAGACTTAATTACCCAGTGATAGGTAAAACAGAAAGCGGTGGAGACAGGGCACGATATAGGTGGCTGAGAGCCACCGGCTACTACTAGCCATTCGTTTTCGAAGCTAGGAACAATTTGAATACAACTCACTTTTCGGTTTTCATCCCCGGCCGTTAGCCATCTTCTTCTTAGCATCAGCTCCGCAACCTAGTTAATTCTAACAGGTTATGAGCCCAAAGAACGACTCCGGTTTCAAGGTCGAGCCTTTCGACGGCTCGAATTATGGGTTGTGGAGTTACAAGATGAAGATGTACCTGATGTCGAAGGGGCTGTGGGGCGCGATCGCGGGCGATGAGACAACAAGTGAGGCCAAGGAACAGCAAGCTCACGCCGCGATCGTGCTGAATCTGAGCGATTCGCAGTTGATGCATGTCATCGACTCGGCCACTGCAAGAGAAGCGTGGGGACGTTTGGCGCGATTTCATCACAGTCATGACATGGCGAATCGACTTTGGCTGAAGGAAAAATTCGCCTCGTTCAAGTATGCAGCATCAAGCATGAGCGGTCATGTGATGGAGCTGGAGGACCTCGTGATGAAGATGAAGCGCGCGAACTGCGGTCCAAGCGAAGAGGACATGTGCGCAGTACTGTTGCGGAGTCTACCTGCAAGCTTCGAGAGCTTGGTACAGGCATTCCGCATGTCCGTCGCAAGCTTCACTTTCAGTGACCTCGTGAGCAAGTTGATCGCCGAAGAAGTGCGCCAGAATGAGGCTGCACGGGTAGAAGATGCAACGGCTCTCTACGCAGGCAAGAGGAAGGGTAAGCAGTACCCGAAGAAGCAACAAGGACGGCGCGCGAAGGGACCATCAGGGACCTGCTACAACTGTGGCAAGGTCGGACACTACGCTAGAGATTGTCGCTCCGGTCGAGGGCCAAGGGAGCAACAGCATGACCAGCCGAATGTCGCGTTTAATGTCAGCGAAGGTTTCGCGAGCGACAGCTGGGTCATGGACAGTGGCGCGTCAGCACACATGTGCAAGGATCGAGATGCGTTCGAAGAGTACGAAGAAGTGCATCACGCGCGAAGTATTTCAAGCGCAAAGAGCGACGTGAAGCTGAATGTCATTGGACATGGGACAGTGAAGCTGCGCGTCTGGACAGGGCATGCGTGGATCGACGCTCGCCTTGAGAACACACTTCACGTTCAAGATTTGTCCAAGAACCTGTTTTCGCTCACGGCTGCGGCAGCGCGCGGCATGACAGTGGAGATAACGCGCAACGAGTGCGTGGTGAAGCGTGTTAGCACACCCGTCACAGCAGGAAGGAAGCAGGGGTTCCTCCTGTATCTCAATGCTGACTATGGTACGGAGTGCCACATGGCCGGAGACGATACAGAGCTATGGCATAGAAGACTGGGTCGTATGGTACGCTGAATGCCATGGTCAAGGACGGAAGGATCAAGGGCGCAACGATGAAGACGAACGTTGCGTGTGACGTATGCGCAACGTCAAAGCAAGTGCGCAAGTCATTTAAGACAAGTAAAGAAGACGCTGAAACCAGGGAGAGTTCGCGTTCCGACGTGGTGGTGTGCTCCGACGTTCTCGGACCTATCAAGCCAGCGTCCAAGTCTGGTTTCAGTTACGCCGTAACCTTCATCATGATGAAGAGCAGGTATGTAACGGTCTATCCGTTGCGAAGGAAGAGCGACGTTGCGAGTGCGTTCAAGCGGTTTTACCAAGATATCAAGAGAACATCTGGAACGAAGATAAAGGTGCTGCGAAGTGACTACGGCGGCGAATACCGGAACGCAACGATGAACAACTTTTGCAAGGCAAAGTTCATCAAGCAAGAATTTACGGTTCCGTACAACCCAGAGCAGAACGGGATGGCGGAGCGGATGAACCGCACGCTGGTGGAGATGACGCGCTGCATGCTCAAGGAAAGCGGCCTCGACAAGTCGTACTGGTGCGAGGCACTGATGACAGCGGCAGACATCAGAAACATTCTGCCGAACGCGTCGAACAAGAACTCAAGCCCACACGAGATGGTGTTCAAGAAGGCTCCGCGCATCGATCACATGCGCGTGTTTGGTGCGCAATGCTATGCGCATGTGGCGAAGGAGAAGAGGAAGAAGCTGGACGACTCAGGCGTGCGTTGCTTCTTTCTCGGCTATGCGAAGGACCAAAAGGCGTATCGGCTTCTTAACGCGGACGATGGCTCGATCGTGATTTCAAGAAGCGTCACGTTCGCTGAGCATTCTGTCTCGAAATCATCGAAAAGCAGAGACACGCGGGTCTTCGATGTCATTGAAGAAGAGGAAAGTGTGGAGGCGTCGCTAACCGATGATGAAGACATACCAGCGCCGGTGACCGAAGAAGAGCTGCGCACCCCACCACTTCGAGCGCAGAACAGCTCTCATCACGGACCAAGTGTTCGACCAAGCGACACCATTCCTACGCGCGCATCCAGCACACCCGGAAGAAATGGAGAAGAAGAGTGGATGGTGCGACCGGTTCGAAAGAAACGCGGCGTGGTTCGCTACGAACAAGAATTTCCAAGCCATCGTCGCGGTCACTTCAATTTGGACGACTACGAAGGTGACTTCGACTCTTTCTACTGTTTCTCGGCTGAAGAAGATGGGGAACAAGCGTCCAGCTATCGAGAAGTGATGAAGAGCGGCTACAAGGAGCAGTGGCTCCAGGCAATGAAGAGTGAGATGAAGTCGCTTGAAGAACACAGCACATGGAAGCTAATGGACATGCCACCGGGCAAGAAGGCCGTTGGCTGCAAGTGGGTCTTCAAGATTAAACGCGATCCAAGTGGCGAGATCATCAAGTTCAAGGCACGCTTGGTTGCGAAAGGGTTCACGCAGCGTCCTGGCATCGACTACAACGAGACCTTCGCACCAGTGGCGCGCAAGGAATCTATCAACACAGTGTTGGCGATCGCTGCAGCCGAAGACCTGGAAGCAGAAAACGTTGATGTCGACACAGCGTTTCTCTACGGCGAAGTGGAGGAGGAGATCTACATGGACCAACCTGACGGTTTTGAAGATGAAGGAAGCCCGAATAAGAAGTGTTTGCTGCAGAAGGCGCTATACGGGACGAAGCAAGCGGCGCGGCAGTGGAACAACAAGTTGAGTCAGCACTTGGTTGATCAAGGATTCAAGAGCAGTACAGCGGACCCGTGTGTGTTCGTTCGAGTGACAAGAGAGGAGCACAGCATCATCGTGATCTACGTGGACGACTTGATGATTTTCTGCAAGACGAAGGAGCACATCGCAAGTATCAAGAACTCATTGATGGAAGATTTCAGCATTAAAGATCTTGGAGATCTTAAGTACTGCCTCGGGATCGAGATTCATCGCAAGCGCGAAGATGGAACGATCAAGATGAACCAGAAGGCGTACATCAAGCGACTTTCGGAGAAGTTCGGCGTTGAAAACTGCAAGGACGTGCACACGCCGGCGGACAGTAACTCGAAGCTGATCAAGATGGGTCAAGAGGAAGCGTTAGTACCAAAGTACCTATACCGTGAGCTGGTGGGCGCTTTAATGTACATCGCCACATGTACACGACCGGACATTGCGCATGCGGTTGACGAAGTTGCGAAGTTTTGCGAGCGCTACGACAAGTCGCATTGGACAGCAGCAAAGCGGATTCTCAAGTATCCCAAGACTGTTAGCGAGTGATGATGCGGCGACTTGTGCAGGGTGTATATTGCATATTTGCATTAGTTGTATTGTTTTTTGGAGGTTTATATTGTGGGATGTTAGCGAAACGACAAGTCATCGGATTGGCTCAGTCGTTTGGGAAGGGGGATTTCACGCGGGTGAGTGCGGGTTCGATCCCCGCCGTGTACAAGTTAATTGTGACTGACACTCACGACCTGGTGTATGGGGTTCACCAGAACTGTGACCCGCCCGCAGTTACGTCCCCCACCCACGCCATCGTTTTCATTCAGCATATGACACAGCAGAGTTTTTACGAAAGGTATTTACGAGACGTAATTACCCAGTGATAGGTAAAACAGAAAGCGGTGGAGACAGGGCACGATATAGGTGGCTGAGAGCCACCGGCTACTACTAGCCATTCGTTTTCGAAGCTAGGAACAATTTGAATACAACTCACTTTTCGGTTTTCATCCCCGGCCGTAAGCCATCTTCTTCTTCTCATCAGCTCCGCAACCTAGTTAATTCTAACAAAGACGACTCAAGACTTAAGCATCGTGTTCAGCGGCATCAACAAGGGAGAGCTGATTGGATTCACGGATGCAAACTGGGCTGGCGACCTCGACACGCGGCGTTCGACAACAGGATACGTTTTCTTCCTGAACGGAAGCGTGATATCGTGGAATTCGAAGCGTCAACCAACGGTCGCGACCTCAAGTACTGAAGCAGAGTACATGAGTCTGTACAGCGCGACACAGGAAGCAATTTGGATTCGAGGTCTGCTCAAGGACCTGAACTACTGTGCCAAGAACGCGACGACGATTTTTCAAGACAATCAAGGTTGCATCGTGCTGGCCAAGAATCCTGTGTACCACTCGCGCTCGAAGCACACCGACATCAAGTTTCACTTTTTGCGTGAAAAGGTTGCAAGTGCAGTGATCGCGCTAGAGTTCAAGCCGACAGAAGAACTGGTCGCGGATGGGTTCACCAAGGCACTTCCAAGAGACAAGCACAGCAAGTTCATCACAGGTCTGTGCATGGCGGTGTAGGGCGCACACGTCGCACGCACATCAAGGGAGAGTGTTAGCGAGTGATGATGCGGCGACTTGTGCAGGGTGTATATTGCATATTTGCATTAGTTGTATTGTTTTTTGAAGGTTTATATTGTGGGATGTTAGCGAAACGACAAGTCATCGGATTGGCTCAGTCGTTTGGGAAGGGGGATTTCACGCGGGTGAGTGCGGGTTCGATCCCCGCCGTGTACAAGTTAATTGTGACTGACACTCACGACCTGGTGTATGGGGTTCACCAGAACTGTGACCCGCCCGCAGTTACGTCCCCCACCCACGCCATCGTTTTCATTCAGCATATGACACAGCAGAGTTTTTACGAAAGGTATTTACGAGACGTAATTACCCAGTGATAGGTAAAACAGAAAGCGGTGGAGACAGGGCACGAAATAGGTGGCTGAGAGTCACCGGCTACTACTAGCCAATCGTTTTCGAAGCTAGGAACAATTTGAATACAACTCACTTTTCGGTTTTCATCCCCGGCCGTAAGCCATCTTCTTCTTCTCATCAGCTCCGCAACCTAGTTAATTCTAACAAAGACGACTCAAGACTTAAGCATCGTGTTCAGCGGCATCAACAAGGGAGAGCTGATTGGATTCGCGGATGCAAACTGGGCTGGCGACCTCGACACGCGGCGTTCGACAACAGGATACGTTTTCTTCCTGAACGGAAGCGTGATATCGTGGAATTCGAAGCGTCAACCAACGGTCGCGACCTCAAGTACTGAAGCAGAGTACATGAGTCTGTACAGCGCGACACAGGAAGCAATTTGGATTCGAGGTCTGCTCAAGGACCTGAACTACTGTGCCAAGAACGCGACGACGATTTTTCAAGACAATCAAGGTTGCATCGTGCTGGCCAAGAATCCTGTGTACCACTCGCGCTCGAAGCACACCGACATCAAGTTTCACTTTTTGCGTGAAAAGGTTGCAAGTGCAGTGATCGCGCTAGAGTTCAAGCCGACAGAAGAACTGGTCGCGGATGGGTTCACCAAGGCACTTCCAAGAGACAAGCACAGCAAGTTCATCACAGGTCTGTGCATGGCGGTGTAGGGCGCACACGTCGCACGCACATCAAGGGAGAGTGTTAGCGAGTGATGATGCGGCGACTTGTGCAGGGTGTATATTGCATATTTGCATTAGTTGTATTGTTTTTTGGAGGTTTATATTGTGGGATGTTAGCGAAACGACAAGTCATCGGATTGGCTCAGTCGTTTGGGAAGGGGGATTTCACGCGGGTGAGTGCGGGTTCGATCCCCGCCGTGTACAAGGTAATTGTGACTGACACTCACGACCTGGTGTATGGGGTTCACCAGAACTGTGACCCGCCCGCAGTTACGTCCCCCACCCACGCAATCGTTTTCATTCAGCATATGACACAGCAGAGTTTTTACGAAAGGTATTTACGAGACGTAATTACCCAGTGATAGGTAAAAACAGAAAGCGGTGGAGACAGGGCACGAAATAGGTGGCTGAGAGTCACCGGCTACTACTAGCCAATCGTTTTCGAAGCTAGGAACAATTTGAATACAACTCACTTTTCGGTTTTCATCCCCGGCCGTAAGCCATCTTCTTCTTCTCATCAGCTCCGCAACCTAGTTAATTCTAACAAAGACGACTCAAGACTTAAGCATCGTGTTCAGCGGCATCAACAAGGGAGAGCTGATTGGATTCGCGGATGCAAACTGGGCTGGCGACCTCGACACGCGGCGTTCGACAACAGGATACGTTTTCTTCCTGAACGGAAGCGTGATATCGTGGAATTCGAAGCGTCAACCAACGGTCGCGACCTCAAGTACTGAAGCAGAGTACATGAGTCTGTACAGCGCGACACAGGAAGCAATTTGGATTCGAGGTCTGCTCAAGGACCTGAACTACTGTGCCAAGAACGCGACGACGATTTTTCAAGACAATCAAGGTTGCATCGTGCTGGCCAAGAATCCTGTGTACCACTCGCGCTCGAAGCACATCGACATCAAGTTTCACTTTTTGCGTGAAAAGGTTGCAAGTGCAGTGATCGCGCTAGAGTTCAAGCCGACAGAAGAACTGGTCGCGGATGGGTTCACCAAGGCACTTCCAAGAGACAAGCACAGCAAGTTCATCACAGGTCTGTGCATGGCGGTGTAGGGCGCACACGTCGCACGCACATCAAGGGAGAGTGTTAGCGAGTGATGATGCGGCGACTTGTGCAGGGTGTATATTGCATATTTGCATTAGTTGTATTGTTTTTTGGAGGTTTATATTGTGGGATGTTAGCGAAACGACAAGTCATCGGATTGGCTCAGTCGTTTGGGAAGGGGATTTCACGCGGGTGAGTGCGGGTTCGATCCCCGCCGTGTACAAGTTAATTGTGACTGACACTCACGACCTGGTGTATGGGGTTCACCAGAACTGTGACCCGCCCGCAGTTACGTCCCCCACCCACGCCATCGTTTTCATTCAGCATATGACACAGCAGAGTTTTTACGAAAGGTATTTACGAGACGTAATTACCCAGTGATAGGTAAAACAGAAAGCGGTGGAGACAGGGCACGAAATAGGTGGCTGAGAGTCACCGGCTACTACTAGCCAATCGTTTTCGAAGCTAGGAACAATTTGAATACAACTCACTTTTCGGTTTTCATCCCCGGCCGTAAGCCATCTTCTTCTTCTCATCAGCTCCGCAACCTAGTTAATTCTAACAAAGACGACTCAAGACTTAAGCATCGTGTTCAGCGGCATCAACAAGGGAGAGCTGATTGGATTCGCGGATGCAAACTGGGCTGGCGACCTCGACACGCGGCGTTCGACAACAGGATACGTTTTCTTCCTGAACGGAAGCGTGATATCGTGGAATTCGAAGCGTCAACCAACGGTCGCGACCTCAAGTACTGAAGCAGAGTACATGAGTCTGTACAGCGCGACACAGGAAGCAATTTGGATTCGAGGTCTGCTCAAGGACCTGAACTACTGTGCCAAGAACGCGACGACGATTTTTCAAGACAATCAAGGTTGCATCGTGCTGGCCAAGAATCCTGTGTACCACTCGCGCTCGAAGCACACCGACATCAAGTTTCACTTTTTGCGTGAAAAGGTTGCAAGTGCAGTGATCGCGCTAGAGTTCAAGCCGACAGAAGAACTGGTCGCGGATGGGTTCACCAAGGCACTTCCAAGAGACAAGCACAGCAAGTTCATCACAGGTCTGTGCATGGCGGTGTAGGGCGCACACGTCGCACGCACATCAAGGGAGAGTGTTAGCGAGTGATGATGCGGCGACTTGTGCAGGGTGTATATTGCATATTTGCATTAGTTGTATTGTTTTTTGAAGGTTTATATTGTGGGATGTTAGCGAAACGACAAGTCATCGGATTGGCTCAGTCGTTTGGGAAGGGGGATTTCACGCGGGTGAGTGCGGGTTCGATCCCCGCCGTGTACAAGTTAATTGTGACTGACACTCACGACCTGGTGTATGGGGTTCACCAGAACTGTGACCCGCCCGCAGTTACGTCCCCCACCCACGCCATCGTTTTCATTCAGCATATGACACAGCAGAGTTTTTACGAAAGGTATTTACGAGACGTAATTACCCAGTGATAGGTAAAACAGAAAGCGGTGGAGACAGGGCACGATATAGGTGGCTGAGAGCCACCGGCTACTACTAGCCATTCGTTTTCGAAGCTAGGAACAATTTGAATACAGCTCACTTTTGGTTTTCATCCCCGGCCGTAAGCCATCTTCTTCTTAGCATCAGCTCCGCAACTTAGTTCATTTTAACAGGTCTTACAGAGGCTTTTCGGTCTTCGGTTCTTTCTTAAGCTTGACGTATTCTTCATCTTGGTACTCGCGGCATATACCCGCAATTTCGAAGATTAGGGCACGCAAACCATTGTGGTGGAGTGTATTATCCAAACTGTTTGACGAGAATCCAAACCGCTCATTCTGCAGGAGTGCTGACTTTCAAAGGGGGTACCCC